GAAACCTGTGCTGAGAGTAAAGTACAATGTACAAAGCTGCTATTGCTGCTCTTCTAAAAATGTTAGTTGTCTGACTGTATCTGGATTCAGTACAGTCCAAATCACTGACCAGGAACAAGTATGTAGTCAGAACTTCTAAAATCCAGATTTGATCCTTTTCAGTGATTCAGAAAGTATTGAAACTATCTGTTTAGCATGGCCACCAGCTATCTAGCATTTGAAGAAGGGAAGATCGGAAATGGCAGCCTGCGTATTTCTATCAGTATAGGTTTGAAATAATATTTAAATTTGAAGGACTTGATTATCAACAACCATCCCTCCATTTTTACCAGAATGCCAATTTAGACTGTTAAACACGATCGCTTGGTGCTGCATATGAACATGAGTGTAAAGACTGATGCTGATTTTTTTTAAAGACTAAAGAAAAGTACACTGACGACAAGCATCAGCATGTCTCTTTTATGTGCAGATACATGTTACACTTTCTTATTCAATTTCCAAATACGACTGTTTTTCTTTACAAATCCAGCTGTTTGGTGATTGCAAAGTGCATGGTGGTGTTTTACAACATATGCAATCACAATTCCTGATCCAATGGGATATCACTCAAAATGCCACTGAAATGAGGCAGAACATTTCTAATTTTATAGCTTGAATATGTGTGGTATGTTCCTAGGATCATGCTCAATTTGCAATGTGTTATTGTCTAATAATATTTCTTTTATAACGTGTGAGGTATTCCATTCGTTTTTTTTTCCAATCATTTTATAAATGGCAATTAAATTGGAAAAAAGACAAGGGCGGCAGCTAACGATTATTTTCATAATCGATTAGTTGCTCGATTATTTTTTAAAGTAATCGATTGGTTGCATTAAAACAATATCTCTCTCTCTCCCTCCCTCTCTCTCCCTTCCTCCCTCCCTTTCTCTCTCTTTCTCTCTCTCTCTCTCTCTCCTCCCCAACCAACTAACTGATAAGGAGAATAGTTGCCAGCTATTCTCATTATCGATTATTATCGATTTAATCGATAAGTTGTTGCATCCCTAAAAAAGACAGGAGGGTAGCAATATTGCAAAAGATGAACATATGGTCAAAGTTCAAAGTGAATGGCAGTAAATATGATGATACCATGCATAGCCAGCATTAATACAAAAGATATGATTACATAAGGGGAACTCACAGTGTTCATTCTGGTTTAAAGGTGTACCCAGTTTTGGTTTAATATAGCAAAATCCACAGCAAAATGACAGAAAACCACTAAACGCTAATAGCATCTCAGATGACCTCTGAAAGAAGCCCAGGTGCCCAACTATTTACACACCGAAAGGCTTGACCAAAGCACCTTTGAGTCTAGTATTATTTTGTGTTCTAAGCATTCATCCCTCTAAGGCCCCTTTCACACGGGCTGATCAGGAAGGAATAATTGCACGAATCCCCTCCTGATCGCAGGGGTACAGAACAGATGTCTCTGCTATGACATCCGTGTCCATAGCAGTTTTTTCCTCCACTCACGGTGGAAAAAACTGAAATGACCAGACCCAAGTTGGTCCAGAGGTAATCGGATGTAATTGCACATGAGCCCTAAATGCTCTCACTGTAACTGGAGAGCTAGATAATATGGTAAATGTAAACTGTAGCAAACCGACCAACCAAATGTTGATTTCCATCATTGTTACCCCAGATTGCATATATTCGTGTCCATCCTCTACCTTGGAGGAAAAAATTGAACTAAACAGACCCATGTCCGATTACCTCCGATCCGTCCCGTTCAGGTCCGCAAAAATGTAACTCTCTTACTTTTTTGGGGGGAGACCTAGTGGGGGGCCTTGTGGATCTTTTGCTGCTATTGAAGTAGTAATTTGCAAAACAATTCTATTTGATAATTCAATAATCATCACTAAGTAACCTTTCAGATACTAAAAATCTCGCTCCGAGCCAACTTGTACCACTTACTTGGGCACACATTTCAAATGGAACTTTTGTACGGTTTCTATTAAGACCACCACTGCACCGCATGGTACATGGTCATGATCAGCTAGACAGCATTAGGTTTAGGGACTGAAGGAATTTTAGATGTTTTGGTATCCAAGAGATGGTTAAAGGTTTTAATTGCTTTCATTGTTTTGTTTTTTGAAAAAAGTATTGTAAATAAAAGATAATAACATTTTTTTGTATTTGACTGTATGTGTTTATCTCTGGAGGTCCATCTCTGGAGGTCCAGAAGGGGTATGAAAAAAGACCCTGTCACTAGCCCGCACTTTTTATTTAAAACTTTGGCAGCAGCATAGAATAATAAAGGATTGTCCACTTTTTCTTTCATTTTTAAAATGATTTTTGATGTTCTGAGCTAAGTGAGTATAAAAGGGATCCATCACTTACGGGACTATCACGTCACGGTCAGTGCACAGCACCCCTGCATTGGGGTCCCTGCTGTCATCCTGCGTGTAAAGATGTCACCAGCACACCAAAATCCTTCCAGGATCACACATGTTCATTTAAAGATTCTTTTTACAGAAACAAGTGCTTTTGGGGCCGTGCAGGGTCCCTTTATCAGGCACAGCATTGACCCTGCACGGCTTCGTAAGTGCTTGTTTTGTGACAAGAATCGTTAAATAAATGAACATTTGTGATCCTGGAAGGATTTTGGTGTGCTGGTGACACGTTTACACGCTTGCTGATATTGGCGGCGCCATCCACAGTCACTGCAAATACCCCTTCCCCACTACACGGGACAGCTGGTAAGGAGTACAGTGAGGTAACTACATACTGCCTGCTGTCATCCTGTCCTGGCAACCACACACAGGAACAAGCAGTTGTCATGTGGGCAACACCTACGATGGTGTGCATGCAAATACAGCTTGCCTAGGAATGCCCATCCCTCCAGCCTGACATCCACCAATCAAGACATTTTGATGTTTGAGAGATGTACTGAGGCAGCGTGCTATGAAGCTTTCAGAAAGATGCACAGCACCCTGCCTTGCCCTCCCACCAACCATGACCGCCTGTAATGCATGGAGAAACACAGAGACCAAGTGGTGACATCACTGGGTCTATAATAAGATGAAATGAAAATGTAATCTATTCTCTTCTTTTTCATTTAGTTTACTTTGCTTTCACTTTAGTTCTTCATTCCTTCCTTTTCTCTTATGTAGTTTCCGTACTTATTCATCTTTATTTGATGCTTATATAACATTACTTTTGTGAGTATAGGCTAAAGGCATCAGTATCAACTGCCCATTTGTGAGCCCTTGGATACTTGCTTTCATTTAACTTCTGATCAACAGAGAGCTCTGGATATCTAGTGAGCCTACGCTTTCATGCTACGGTGTCTTTGGATAGTGCATTTATTGTACTGGTGCTAGGACTAAAACTGGCCATATACCTATAGATTATCTGCACATTTTCTATGGTCAGATGGAAAAAGTGCAACAGATTCCTCCATCTACGCTAAACTGTGTGGATGGAGGAATCTCCCACTGGGCCAAGCTTCAGTATCTTGCTAGTCGGCCCCGCTGGCTCTCAAAACACCTGAACAATGCCTGCATCCAATCAGATTGTTCAGGTATTTTGACAGCCAGCGGAGCCGACTAGCAAGATACTGAAGCTTGGCCCAGCGGGAGATTCCTCCATCCACACAGTATAGCGTAGATGGAGGAATCTGTTGCACTTTTTCCATCTGACCATAGAAAATCTGCAGATAGTCTATAGGTGTATAGCTAGCTTTACATGCTGTCTACTTATTTACTTTTTGTCGTTTGTTAGCAATAATGTTTTTAGGACACATTTTCTTTTGTAAAAGAAATGGAAATGGAAAGGCTTTACAGTAGTTTTTGCAAACATTCCATTAGCATGCCGATAAAGAAGGAAACCAGGGAGGGCAAAATGTAAGCAGAATAAACGGCAACTTTAAAGGGTATGTATTCATATGCAAATATCACAGTCAAGACTATTTTCAGTGGGGGTGGGGGGTTGGCAGTAGCCCCTATATTAATTTTGGTTGCCCCTGTCTGCCCGACATCATGTGTCCGGGTTTCAGCTGCCATGAAAACCGGACACACCATTCAAAACCCGGACTGTCCGGGTGAATCCCGGACAGGTGGCAACCCTAAATAGAACCCCTGCCTATGTCCCTGCAGGGGGAGATTTACCTTCGCTGTTTGTCCTGGTGAACATCGATCACCGAAACAGGAAGTGAAATACAATCATTTCACAAATCTTGTCACACCAAGGATTTCCACCCCTGCATGAGAATAGGATTGTGTGCAGGGGTTCTAAAAATAGAGTCCATCTGTCTCCTGTTGTCCATTGCTCCATGCCCCAATGAAGGGGGATTCTTGACCCCCGAAATGCATTGGCTGTGAATATCTTCTTGCCTCCATTTGTTGTGATTTTTGGACTCCAGAGACAATTATCTGGCGCTCTTTTTTTTATTTCATTCATGTGGCTTCCTTGTTTTCATCGTCTACTCCCTCTAGAGGGCCCCCCATTTAGTAAATAGCTGCTGGAACCGAGCCATCAGGCCCAAATATTGCTCCTATTCACTAGAGAAATTTGTTGGACCAGCGCCTTATTCCCATAGTTGTTACCAGAACAGGTGGAAGAGGGGAAACCTTCCAATGGGGGGACTTGTTCCTGTGACAACTGTTTAAATAGGGATTTATCTGACTTTGTAGAGATTTCCTCTCACTTCCTGTTGTGCATCTAGGATAGGAAGTGACGGGACATCTCCAGAATGGGTCACATGCATAATAATATTATATATAAAATAATAACAGTAATAATAATAATAATGTCAGGGTGGCTATCCCTCCCCTACACTATTAAAGTTTCACTCTTTCAGTGATTTCCAGTAGTAAACACTGAACCCAGAACACCCAGCTGTGTGACTTCCACATATAACTCCACAGAGCCACACAGTACTGAGGGAGGGAGAGATGTGCTTTCAGGGCTGTGTCAGCCTGTACATGTTTTAATAAAGTTGATTGAGAAGAAGCTTCACAGTAAACAAACATGGCGGCTCTGACTGCAGGAGAGAACGCATAAGGGAGGGGATCGAGTTCTGTACGGACTAGGATGGAGGAACCGGCGTCCTTCATGGACGACAGTGACGAGCACCGAGCGGTGGCCATTGTCGGCTCCGAGCTGGTGGACAATTACACGGTGAGTGGGCGGGGCCTGGCCGGCCTGCATTGTACGCGCCGCTGGTAAAGAGTCCCTGTCATGTCGCTCCTGTCATAACGGGGATTACATCACCTCACCGGGTCACTTTTTATAGTGGGGTCTGGGTGTCCTGGAATATACCTACAAATAGACCGCACTGGGTCCATATTCTCCCAAACTGTTCTAAATGTATCCTGAGAATTACTTCTATCGTATTGGAGCTCATTAACATAGGACACTATTCCCCGGACCCTCGTAAATCTTTCACTTCCCTGAAAATAATGACTGTAAAGTAGATGTAATAACGTTCAGGGATTGTCCACCCCAGTCGGTAGGTGAACGCTGTGAGGGCGGCGCTGTGATTCCCTAGTATAAACACACCGCACTGTTTACATTTTTTTTTTTTACTTTATCACAAAATGACACTTCATTAACCACTTCAGTACCAGACCATTGTTTAGTTTCCAGCCCTGTGCAGGTTTGGCTGAGAATTCCTTCATCACACAACAATAACCAAATACATTGTATATCATTTTTCTGGGGACAAATGGAGCTTTATTTTTATTTTTTTAGGGGTATTTAATAACCATTTTTTTTTATAAAGTTAAAGAGGCCAACTAATTTGAAAATGACCCATTTTTGGAAAGTAGACACTCCAAAGTGATCTGATTTTTTTTTTCCCCACAATTTTTTGGATATGAAGAAACAGTCTGGTATTGAGGGGGGTTAAAATATATGGTGCTTGGTAATAGTGAACAAGATACAAGTCACAGACAGAGGGGGTGGAGATGAAGGGGTTAATGTATAGATATGCAGGATAAGGGAGGTGAAATAGACAGGTCAGAGCAGAGACAGAATGCAGATAACATAGGAAGTGGGTAGGGGAGGGGTAAAAGGGTTTAAAGTCTATGAAACTTTTTTTTTTTCTGCAGCAGCTTGTCTTCACTAGAAATTAATGAATGGATGACTCATTCCTTCAATCATTCATTACTCACTTTACTCTCCTCTGCCTCTGATAGAAGAGGAAGGGGAGGGCTTGGCAATGTAAACATTGCCATGCGATTGCTGTGATAACCAATCACAGGACACAGAGCCGGGAGCTGGGATCAGGTAAAGCTGGCCATACACCTATAGATTATATGCAGATTTTCTTTGGTCAGATGGAAAACATGCAACAGATTCCTCCATCTACGTTTGGTAGTCGGCCACGCTGGCTCTCAAAACACCTGAACAATGCCTGCATCCAATCAGATTGTTCAGGTATTTTGACAGCCAGCGGGGACGGATGTGAAACTACGCATTGTGCGGCATCTACACTACGGAGATGTGAAGCGCTTGTTATGGTGTGCTGATTGTGGCAACCATGGCTGCTTAATGTGTGCTTAAATAAATAATCTCCTTTGGAAGCTCATGGGATGGGGTGATAACACAGGAGATCAATTGGCAGACAGGGACAGTTGTCACACTTCAACAGGAAGTGCTTGAAAAAGGACCATCATGACAGGATCGCTGTTAGAGCTGCAGCTAACGATTATTTTCAAAATCGATTAGTTAGCCGATTATTGAAGTTAAAGCATAGATGTTAGTGATTGGGTTTATATATATTTTAAGGGCAAGTTACAGTATAGATTAAAGTGATATGTAAGTCAAAGGATTTTAAGCTTTTTCAAATGCCGATGCTGTGCCTTGATGTTTAAAAGTTTTACTTTCCTGCAGAATCAGCTGCTCCCCTGACCACTGGTCACCTGATTTCCTGTTTTAGAGTGGCTCCTTTCTCAAGCGGAGTGCTGTGCAGTCACCCTTGTGTGTGGCAGTAAGCTGGCCATACACCTTACAGTTATGTGGGTTTTTTTTGTTCCATCATGGAACCCCTGTTCATTTTCTGCTCGAATGCCCCATCATGCACAGACCAATGTAGTTTTCGATTATGTTGGCTGGCAATACTAAGGCCCCGTTCACATTGAGCGATTTATCGCGCGGTAATTCCCGCGATATGGCGGCTATTTACCACGCGATATCGCTCTCCAATGCAAGGCAATGGGGCAAAGGGTCCTGCTGTTGCGGGTCGTGCGTCGCTACAGCAGGACCCTTTTTGGAGCGGATTTTGCAGCGATTCCATTATTTGCAATGCAAGCATTTGCGCAATATCGTGCAAAATGCGAATCGCGCATCAAACGTGCGATTTGCAAATCGCGCAGTGTGAATGGGGCCTAACTGTCTGAATTTCATCAATCAACAGAACGGATTTTCGTTTGTGCAGTGTTCAAGTTGCGATTTGTGTTGTACAAAAATGCCACTAATCCATTCATTTTTTAAGTTTTTTTTTCTCCCTCCATCCGTTTCGATTAAAGTTTTCTAGTCTGCCCGTTCAACGAAATTCGGCCAGTTGTACAGTAATTGCGATTGTGCACTTCCCATCAACTGGCCAATTATCGTACGAAAACGCGTTTGTTTAATTACAAGGTGAATGGGCACCTTAAGCTGTGTGTATCTCTACAAACACACAGGCACAGCAAATCAAGCTACTCTTCTCCCCCGTGGTCCCCTCTCCTCCATTCTCCAAGCTAGTAGATGAACAGTTGCTGGAGATTGCTCTGCCCATTATTAACGTGTTCTGGACAGGAAGTTCAGGGAAGCTGAGCTGAGAGACATGGAAGCAGCTGTTCAGAAACATGATGATTGAAAGCCCTCGTTCACACCCGAGCAACAGTCTTCACACGTAGAAACACGCATTAATTGTAGCATGTTTTTGCGCTTTTTTGTGTGCACATTTTACGCGTGCAAAACGCGCGTACAGACAGTCACGCATTTTTGCAAGCAAATCGTGACACATTGATGTGAATGGGCAAACAAGCATTAAATGTGTGTAAAATATGCAAAAACGCAGCCAACGCACGTTTTTAAATGTTTCCATTGAAGTCTATGGGGTTAAGAAGCGCAGAATCTGCCAAAAAAGAAGCTCGTGTACGTTTTCTTCAAGCGACGGGCTTATTGCTGCAATTGACAAAATGCTCAGATGTGAACATGGCCATATAAATGAATGGGGTTTTTTGGGGGGGCGTTTTTTTTTTTGAGCAGGAAAAGCGCTACAAACACTCCGTGTATATGAGGGCTTAGCTTTTGGGCCAAAATGTAAAGCAATCCTTTTCTGGGCCATGTGTATTTGTGTGCTCTGGATTCATTATTGAAAAGAAGATTGAGAGTTTAATAATACTTTAAGTCAGGGCTGGACAAATCCCTGGAGTCAGGTAGCCAATGCTCCTGAGAAATGACAGCTGGCTTCTAGTTGTTGTCAATGGAGCTGGCTCCTAATAAGTGCTGCCGCCTCCTGGAATGGACAGACTGGCTCCTGAATTCCATATTAAATTGTCCTCCTCGGACTTACTGTATTCTCAATCAGGCTTCTTCATTTTCCAGCACAGCCAAAATGCATGGGCAAAAGAAACTCCCTTCTTTATAATATGACCTGAATGCATCCATCTGTTGTGTTGCAGAACATCCCACCAGCGGCATTCTGGGTGCACTGACCTGCATTTCTGCTATTTATTTCAATGCCTTGTAACGTGTCTGATACACATCAGCACAATGCGCTTATGTTATCATGTGAATGGGTCCTCAAGGACAAAATAAATGGAGATAGATATAAATAATTTACATCTTTAGACCAACATTCAATTAAAAAACTCCCTGAAGAATGACTACAGAGGGCAGAAGGAGGTCAATCATTTGTGTTAAAAGTAGAACTGTGGCTTCCTGTTTTAAAAATATGTGATGCGGTGCTTAATTATAAGAGCATCAGCACTTACAGTTTGTCTTAGGGCAGGTTCACACCATATTGCGGACCAGGTCTGGTCCAGATCTGGTCCGGGAAACAGCGTGAATGTGCCCGCAGTTCCAGACCAGACAAAATAGGACAAGCAGTATTTGTCTGGTCTGGTCTGGTCTGGAACTGACTGCACTGGTGTGAACAGAGGCCAGAAATAGCATAGGGATACATTAGGATGCATTTTGGGTCCGGAAACAGTCTTGTCTGGAGATGATCTGGATGTGGTGTGAAGTCCTGCAAAGTCCCACAAATGCATGTAGATCCTACCAGTAAAGTCCGCCTAATGCATGCTTCCTGTGATGGCGGGAAAACAATGCTGCACTGTTCCTGAATTCAGGCCGGGTTCACACCATTCTCCGGACCACATCTGGAACATAGTGCATTGCGTTTTTGGCGCGTTTGGAATTTTTTTTTTTTTTTTTTAAGCTTAAAATGGTCTTACAGGTGCGTTCCATGTTTTTTTGATGTGTCCCAGTGCATTCCAGACCAGACAAAATAGGACAAGCAGTATTTTTCTGGTCTGGTCTGGAACCGACTGCGCTGGTGGGAACAGAGGCCAGAAATAGCATCGGGATACATTGGGATGCATTTTGGGTCTGGAAACAGTCTGGTCTGGAGGTAATCTGGATGTGGTGTGAATGGGCCCTCAGAGCAGAGTTTCCACTCTCATGTAGGCTGTGCCGGCTTGGTCTACAGTGGGATGAGAAGATGTTGCAGGGGATGTGGCTTTCTTCTTGTCGCTGCGGATTGACAATGAATGATAGCAATCACCAGCACTCCGTATTTTTGTATTTCATTTACAGAGTGCTGGTGATTTCCGTGATTGTCACTGCGAGCACCACTGTTTCCCCTTGGACCGGGAGTGCTGTGAGGAGTGCAGGCGGACCTATCGTTTTCTGAAACTGCTGATTGACAGGCATTTGTTTCTGCCATGTCTATTAAACAGAGATTTGTAGGATGGTAAATGTGATTTATGCTGGCTTCACGCTGTCTGCATCAACACATATTGAGGAATAGGCTGCCTAATGCACCAGAAAAGTACAAGCACTATTTTTTGGAACACAAAGCACTACAATGCATGGTAAGGTGTGTTGAGGTGTCATTCATTAACGCAGAGCAGGAATGTGGACAGGGCCTTTAGGGTCAGTTGAGCTCACACTATACATGTAATAAATTGGTGGGTTAATCATTGATTGCGATTAGAGATTCTCTTGTATATTTAGCTGTCTTTGTGACTACTTTCACCATCACTATTTTCCTTTGTTCTGCTTTATATTGTAAGTCCAGTTGTAGCTGTTTGTGAGAACCTATGTGAGCAGGAAGCCCAGAGGAAAATCTAAAGCCCATTTTGTATTTTTGCTATCTGTAGACTTTTTCTCTCTTAAGATGATATTGCTGTCAGTTTCTGCTGAGCACACAGACTTGTATTCTCATGAGAGCTTAAAGTGATATTAAAGGATAACTCCACGAAATGTAAAAAGTAACCCCACTGCAAGGGTTAACTGCTCGCATTGGTCTACTGGCTACAGTAAAGAAAATGTACTCACCTAATCTCCGTTCCACTTGGATGCTCGACCTGTCCTACAGCCTCTTCTCCCCTGGGCTCCAGTGGTCTAGGCAACCTTGACAACATCACATCTAATGCAGCTGCATAAGGCCCCATTTGCACCAGGGCGGGTGCGGTTTTCGCGTGATTTTTAAAAAGGCGGTTATGAGCATTTTAAATTGCATTTCAGAGCTGAAACGCAATTAATAACTCCCAAAACCGCACTGATCAATGCGGTTCCATTGAAAGCTGTATGGAAACCATGCTGATCACCGTGGGAGAAAAAGCTCAGGGAGCAATTCGGGCAGGGGGCGGTTCAGGTCACGCGGATCCGTGCGGTCACATGAACAGTCCCCATAGCAATGTATGGGATCGATCATGTCGGGGGACCCACCTGGCCAAATCCGCTTGTGAACCCGGTGTGAACGGGCCCTTAAGGTGCCCATACAGTGCATGATTCTCGTACCAGAATCGCGGGAAATCCCGCGATCGTACAAGAATCGTGCAGTGAATGAAGACATGCGACCGTTTCTACTGTACGATCACACATCTTTTGTCTAAGGAGCATGCTAGAAAATCTTACGATTTTCGGCTGGTTTGAACGGTGCTCGGGAGACAAATGCCGAACGGGCCGTTGTGCGCATGCGCACACTGCCCGTTCAGCATTGCGGTCATCGGAAGCCGGTGGGGGCGGGCTTGCGATGATCGCAAGTACTATCTGCCTGTCCAAGATGGGCAGATCGTACATTTTTTAAATTACTTTACAACCATCGCAAGACCTAAGGTCTTGCGATGGTTCTAAAGTGTATGGCCACCTTTAGACTTGGGGTGGGGGGAAGAGCATCATGGTAGGACCGAGGATCAGGTGACTATTTCTTTATTTTAGCCCCAAAAACACAACAAACGGTTAACCCTTGCAGTTCAGGGTTAGCCCCACTGCAAGGGTTTTTTTTTATTTTCTGGAGTTCTTTAAAACAAAAATATTTTTAAACTGATTAAATCACTTACAATGGATGCTGCTCTTACATGTTTATGGGCCCATTCCCACCCAATGCGATTTGATGCATATTTAACCCCTTCATGACTGAGCTAGTTTTCAGGTTCTGTTCATAAATGACTGACACATTTTTTACATTTTTGCTGTGTGATTCTTCCACAGCAGTAATATACTTTCTTACTAAATGTACCCACACATATTATATATATTTTTTTAGAGGACAGATAGGGCTATATAATTATATCACATATGTGTACCTAACCCCTCACTTAGTTTGAATAAAATAAAAAAATGAGGAAAAAAACTAGAAGAAAACACTTTTTTCACAAGTTTTGATTATTATTATTTTTTTTAGAATTTTTTTATATTAATTATAGTATAAAAAATATATTTATATATAATTTATATTTTCCTAATTTTGTTTTACACTTTATTTTAATTTTTTTACACTTTGTAAAAAAAATTAAAATAAAAAACCTTTTTTTTTCTTGTCAGTTTATATCAAGCAATCACTATGACAGCTTGATAAATTAACTTTTTTATTTTATTTTTGGCTATTAGGCTGATCCAAACTTAGGAACAGCTAATAATAACCTTAGAGACTGATCCTGACTTTAGTCAGATTCAGATCTCACTAAAAGCTCTTTGATCGTGCCTAGACGATCAGAACTGATACATTTCACTCAAAAGATATACATTGTATCCTTTGAGTAAAATGTATCTAAACATCGGGCTCTCGAGCTGTCAAAACAAATAGCAGAGAGGTGAGGTGAGTCACTGCTGCCTCTCTGCTATTTTGAGCTGTCAAATACGGGATCGCAAATTGCGGTCCTCTATTTGCATGTAACGGCTTCATTCTTTCATTAATGAAAGGAAGAAGCTTTTACAAAAAGCTTAATTATTTCATTAATTAATGCCTCAATACTGAGACATTAATGAATGACTGTTAAATGCTGAGAATCAGCAAATACCGGCATTACAAAGCCTGATATAACTCGTCACGTACAGTGTACGTGGCCAGTCATATAGGCACAAAGTGACAAGACGTACGTCTCCCGTCACGAAGGGGTTAAACACATCCGAAATGCATCTACACAAAATATAATAGAGCTGCAACGACGATTCGATTTAGTCGATTCAAATCGACGATCGAAAACGTTACCAACGTTTTCGATCGTCGATTATTCGGCTATCTATTACATTGCCTGTTTCGCGGCTCCACACTCAAGCCCCGCACGCCACGCCCACCGAACGCGCACGCCGCCGCGGCCCAGCTCCCGACTCTCCTCCAATCCCGGCGCTCCTCACATTTAGCCGGGACGATCACATGATGGGTGCCGGGGATGTGAGCGCGACGGGTGTCAGCCTGGGGACGGAGACTTTGGCTGGGGACGAGCTGGCATCCAGGCTGAACCGTTCAGCAGAAGACATGGAGGGAATGTGCAGACAGTAAGTGCCCCGACCTCCCCTCCCCGGAGCCTGGGACCCAACACTGTGCACCCCAACCCACCATCATACCCATCCTTTGCACCCTATTCCACCATTATACCCATCCTCTCCATCCCTGCACCCCATCCCACCATCATACCCATCCTCTCCATCCCTGCACTCCGTTCCACCATCATACCCGTCCTCTGCACCCCATCCCACCATCATACCCATCCTCTCTATCCCTGCACCCCATTTCACCATCAAACCCGTCCTCTTCATCCCTGCACTCCATTCTACTATCATACCCGTCCTCTGCACCCCATCCCACCATCATACCCGTCCTCTCCATTCCATCATACCCGTTCTCTGCACCCCATTCCACCATCATACCCATCCTCTCCATCCCTGCAAGCAATAATACATTATAGTATACTATTGCTGCGATTTGTTGTATTCCTCTATAGCTGCTGGTATTCTGCACTGAGCCGCTGTATAATGTACTATATTGCACACCACACTTTTTTTTACTTCCACCGCTCCAAACTTGCTCCCGTGATGGACTACAATCGCAATACAAACGAGTAGTCCATCACTGGAGCCTTTTTTTTTTAATCCGATTAATCGAACTCAATAATTGGCTAACTAATCGATTATGAAAATAATCGTTAGCTGCAGCCCTAAAATATTATGTTTTTTTTTTTTTAGTTCACACCAATGCATTGAGTTTTGAAAAAATAGAGCAGGCTGCATTTTTTTTTATACCGCCACGCCTGCAAATGCATGCAAACGCATGAAAAACATCTCTTTTAATAGTTGGAGTGATGGTGCCCCTAAAAAAAAAAAAAAAGGAATGTAAACCAGTGGTAATTTTGTAGACGAAAACTTTTCGTCATAGTTTTCATCAGCTGCATGTTTTCAGTAACCAAAACTAAATAAAAAGTAATAGGACTAAATCTATGATGAAAATACATTGCAGTTTTCATCAACGAACAAAAACGCAACGAAAATGGGAGGGACTATTGCATTTACCTATTTGGACTAACGGTTCCCTCACAGCTCCGCTAAAGCCCCAGTCCCCTGAGTCTATCGGCAGCTGGATTAGCTGAGACGCAGGCTCCATTGGTCTCCCTGCCGCCTGGATCTGTGTTCAGTTCCAGACTTTTAAAAAAGGTACAGCAGCATGCTTTCTTCATACAGGAATGCACAAAAATGCATGTAAATGCACCGGAATGCACTGGAACACACTTAAACCCAAGCCAAACCAATTCTAAAAAAAGAACTGCAACGCATTGAAAACACAACAAAAAGTGCAGAAATGCATCCTTCCTCCTCCCTTCTCGAAGATCGTATATGGGCAGCTGTTGGAGACTGATCTGTCCCTTGTGATCTTGTACTAGACAGGAAGTTCAGGGAAGCTGAGCTGAGAGAGTTGGAGCTGTTGGGGAAACAATTATGACTGTAAGTGTTTGGGCAAAAATGTAAAGAGATACATTGTGAGCAATGTGTATTTGTTTGATCTGGATTAATTATTGAATACATTGAGTTCAAGGCTACTTTTCCATGTATGTATGTATGTATGCTTTTGAGAGTCATCTATCTATAGATATATCTATATCTATAGATATATATATATATATATATATAAATTACATACATACATATACAGTCGTACCTCGGTTCACAAACTTAATTCATTCCACGATTCTGGTCGCGAACCAAATCAAATTTCCCCATAAGGATCAATGTAAATAAGGTTAATCCGTTCTGAACCATATGTAAAAAAAAATTTTTTTTTTTTTACCACAACAAATATGAAACAAGCTAATTCTTTGGAGCCATGTTGGATTGAATAATACTGTATAGTACTGTATGTGCAAAAAAGCTTCACAGCAAGTGTGCACAGGTCTGTCTGCGACCGCAATCTCGACTAGAGGAAGCCACGATCACGTGCCAGAGCGGGGAAGATGGCCACGGTTGTGTTCGTCACCCGATGTGGAGTTTGTGAACAGAAGCAAAATTTTGCCAAACTTTCTGTTTGCGAACCGAATTGTTTGTGAACCGAGGTCTTACTGTATATCACATCTGCTACAGATTTACGCATCCGGCATCTTATTGGGAAAATAAATATTCATTTATGTTACATGTTTTTTAGGTTTATATCATTGAGGTCCGGACTGGTGTTTATAACTGGAAAGTGAAACATCGCTACAGTGACTTTTATGATCTCCATGAAAAAGTAAGTAAAAAAAAAATATAGTAATCCTGCAACTATCCCGGCCAATTGAAACTGAGCATATAATGAAGCAATTTATATGGAAGGATTCCACACATATCGCGGCTGTTGCCCCTTCGTCAGGATTGGGCTACCTGCCACGCCCTTCCGCCAGCCCAGTTCTCCCTGCACAGCTTATTGGATGACCCGGGGCAGACACTACTGATCTGATACACAGATTTTGCATCCTTTTATCTAGCGTGTTAGGACAGGTCACATCGCTATTCAGCAACCAAATACCATGTTACACACTATTTATTAGATGTATTGCTTTGCTGTATTTTGATGCTTTCCTTGTCTGGTGTTCACTACTCATGATATTATTTAGGAATATGACTTGTACAGTAACCAGAGTCATACCAGCATGGGGCTCTGTGTGAGTTTCCCAGACAGCAGGTAACATTAATCTCATCTGGACACTGGAAGTATGTGTTTGTGTTGGTTGTAAATTGTTGTATCTGTCTTATTTGTGTGTTGTGCATTGTGCATACTTTATATATAGTGGTGTGGAAATCATTTGCTGTTAAGGGATTTGTGTTGTTTTTGCAGTGCCTTGATTGTTCCCCTTTCCTTTCAGCACACTCAGTGGTGCTGGTTCATTTGTATTGTTACCAGATAGTGTAGACTCAGGAAAAGATGAGATTTGCATGTAACTTGTGCTACCCATGTCTGCAGGTCTACATATGCTGATTTCCCAGAAGGTAATGTCTGTTAATGCATTTTTCATTGAATGCTCATTTTGAATTGCCAGACTGGTTTCTGGTTTACAGTAATAGTTTTAATTGGTTTAATGTTTTTATTTTTTTGAAAAGCAGTTTCCTATGTGTTTCTGAATTCTAATTTCCCATCATGTGATTTAGCTGACGGCGGAGAACAAAATGGAGCGGAATTTGCTGCCTCCTAAAAAAATCATTGGAAAGAATTCGAAGAGCTTGGTGGAAAAACGTCAGAAGGATCTGGAGGTCTACCTACAAACACTGCTTGCAAAGTTTCCTGTTACTGTTCCGAGAGCTTTGTCACATTTTTTGCACTTTCACTTATATGTAAGTTCCTTGATTTCATTTTAAAGGGCAACTCCATGTAAGCTGTTTTTGGAAGAGTGATCTAAAGTTAGTTATGCCTTCTTTTTACTATCATGCTTCTTGCATAGTCTCAGGGCACTTCATGGACTTCTTAGCCTTTTATATATTTATTCATTTATTTATTGATTACAATTTTACACAGAGCTTTACATAGTTGCACATTTACATCAGTCCCTGCCCCCAAGGAGCTTACAATCTAAGGTCCTTATCTCGCATGCATACACACAGGGTCGATTTAGACAGGAGCCAACTAATCCACCTGCATGTCTTTTGGAGGAGGAAACATGCAAAATCACAGGGAGAACATGCAAACTCCTTGCAGTGTCCTGACCGGGATTTCAACCAGGGACCCCAAGTGCTGCAAGGCAGAAGTGCTGACCACTACGCCTAGTGGAAGAAGCCCAATCAGTGATTCTCCTTACCCTGCCTTTAAACCTTTTTATGCTTTTCTGGTTTATATTGTGAGCCGGGGCTAAAAAACATAGAACATAGAATTCCTTACTCGTTTTTATCAATTTATCTAGGTCTTAAAAGAGAACTATGGGGTAGTTGTTTTTCCCCATAATTCTCTTAAGGGTCACGGGGGGACATATATTAGCACCTTCCCGTGACCCAAAGCTCAGTATATCGCAAGCTATAGCTCGCGGTATACTGAGACTGCCGCAGCCGGGACGGATCCCGACATTACTGTCGAGATCCACCCAGCTGCGTGAGTGACAGCTGGCTCTGCCTATCTAGAGGTAGAGCCAGCTGTACCCGCCCCCTCCCCCTGTCAGTTCCTCCAGTCAGCGCTGGGGGGGGGGATCCCTGCCGGGAGCCGTGACTGACTGTCACCACTCTCTGCAGGGAGATGGTCGAGAAGTGAGCGAGTGACGGTATGTATTTGTTCCCTTTACAATTTATTGAGCCGACCTGTGGCAGTTTAATTGTCACACGTCGGCTCGAACTATGAGGATGAGTTATTTTTACTCGCCTCATAGTTCTCCTTTAAACATTCACTGTGTCCAACTAAGAATGTTCACATTGCGCTTAGTGTAATGTGGGAACTCTGGAAACAATGTAATTTCTTTGACTATGTGAACACTCCTTAAACAAAGAGACCCTGCCAGGTCTTCAAATGTTTGAAGCCAGGGTACGCCACGGCATATACTTACTGCTCTGTTGGTCCAACTCTCCTACCTCCATTCCAGCACCTTCGGTGTTTGACACTTCTGGGTCCTCAGCTACATGCTTGTTACTCCCTTGGACCCCTCATGTCATGCAGGCTTCAGCAGTGACATAGAGGGTTAAAGGAAGGAAGCAGAGATTGGCAGGGGACAGAGGCATTCAACACTTGAATGCTGAAGAGGCTTTCTGAGGTTGCAAAACGTGAACAGATGAGATGTAGGGGAAATGGGCCATTGGAGAGGTAAGTATATGCTGACTTCTATTGCAGGGACCTGCTGGCTTCAAAGAAAAGTAAAGATTAACTTTTTCTTTTTGGTTTTACTGCTCTTTTTGGCCACAGGAGTAGGTTTATAAATCTACTCCTATCACCTAAAGTCAGGATATATGCTAGTGCAGAGCCATGCTGCAGCCAGGAGGGATCCTGACAATATTGTTGGGATTCACCTGGCTGCCTGATTGATAGCTGGTTTCACCTTTTTAAAGCCAGAGCCAGTTGTATCTGCCTCCTCCTCTGTCTTTATCTCCAATAAGCACTGGAGGAATGGAGAGTGGAGGGGGGAATCCCTATGGGTAGCGGTGACTGACAGTGACCACTGTGAGCTGAGCGATCAACGGTTACATGATCGCTCAACTCTTTGTATATAGAGCCGGTGTGACACAGCTGCAATGTTCCATGCTGGCTCTAAGTATGGAAAGAGTAGATTTTACTCTCGCAATACTTCTCCTTTAAAAGATTTGGAGACCTGACAGGATGTCTAACTATCATTGGAAGGAGTCTATTTCAGAAAGTGAAAACTCTGCATTTCCATAGATAAAAGCCTGTACATAAAATGGATCATGAATACTATTTATAGATTGTATTAGCTGCTTTTCATTGTAATATTAATCTCTCATAAAGGTGGAATTAACCATTGCATTAACCTGTACTCAAGGCACAAAAGAGATTATTATAGCTGATAGTGGTATCATGTTTTCTCATAAATACCGGTAATAACTTTGTGCTGTCAAATGTATCCTTTGCTGAATGCCTGTTTTGTAAGTCCATTTGTGCTTTGTGTGTAACTAATGTAGATAGCCTGGCAGCTATCAGTTGACCCAGTGTATACTGGGGCTTTTTTAGTCATATGATGGCTCAGTAATTTCCTTCAGGGACTTGTGGATGTCATATGCTTCCTGGCAGCTTCATAAAAGATTGTTTGTGTTTTTAGGAAATTCATGGAATTGCTGCTGTTCTGGCCGAGGAACTTTACCATAATGGTAATACATATTCACATTTTGTTTTCATTTTTGAAAAAAATAATACCACTTAAAAGTGAAATGTAATAGTTGATTTGCGACTGCAGAACAAAGATCTACCTATGATAAAGGTCCACAACCTCGTCTGTAAACACCATTCAGTTCTCAGTCTGATTGAAGCAGTAAGTAGGAATCAGCCCAGAGTTTTCTCTGTTCTTTCCAATGACGCAGGCAAGGTGTGACTACAAATATCTGCTCCATTCAGAACGTAGTCGGTGGCTACAGATGAGAGGACAGCATGGAATGTTTAGCAATGACAGCTTTTTCCTCTGTATTTAGGACTGGTGTGGTTTAACACACCTATACCCATCTAAAGTTGGGTACTCATCACTAGTCATGGTTTACCTTTATTGTGCTTTATATGGTCAGCCTAACAAGCAAAGCTAATCACAATCATCTTTTGGATAAAGTAACCCTTTGGCATGTCATAACATTTGTACCAAAAAGTGGTTCTCTCACACCACTCTAATGATTTCATAGTCTTGTGCAGGTTGGATTCTTCTAAAGAGATCAGGCAGACATTAGATTCTGCAAGGTATCTGCCTCTGTATAAAAAGGTTATACTTATCCGTAGACCACTTATCCTGGTCTTATATTGACCGTGCACACAGTTTACAATGTCCTCATTCTACTAGACTTTGTCATGATTAGGGCTTGAAAAATTTTAGGGTGTCTCACCAGTCAGTCAAAAATTTCACCAGTCAGCATGACCGGACTATAGCCTTGCAATTTATGTTAACATTTTTTAGCAACACATAGAGATTTACTTTGGTGGTATTTAATCACCACTGGGGGGGATATTTCTTACTATATAATGAAAAAAGTACCGTAAATTTTGAAAAACCATAAATGTTTTCCCCACCTTTGTTAAAAAACATTTTATTCTTACCCATATTTTGGTAAAATATAAAAGACGCGGTCACGTCGGGTAAATAGACACCAAACATGTAAAAAAATGTTTCACTGAACTTTATTAAGAAGAACCCTCTGTGAGAGCCAATTTACACACAGGTTCCCTTTATGGAGACATCAGGGGTCTCTGGGACCCCTGTCACCTAGGAACCCCCAAAGTAGCTGAAGAAGCAGAGATCTGCTTCCCTAGCTTCTTCTCCTGGCTCTAAGAGCTGGAGAATGGAAATAGTGACACCGCATGTGATGTAATATACATCACTTCCGGTCCAGTGATCGGAGGAGAGATCAGCGGCTGGAACTGCTTCACCAGCTTCTCTCCAGCTACAGAAGCTGGAGAATGACAGCAGAATGGGGAAGTGATGTAATAATACATCACTTCCTGCATTCGGGGACTGGAGAGGAGGTCAGAGGGAGTTTGTGTACCGATCTCCCTTTGAACTCCTGTGACAGAGCAGCCGTGCCGTTCCCGGCTGCGAGGGGGGGGTTGGATAAAACCGCACCGAATACAAGCGATCTCTAGACACGCTTGATCACTTGAATGTATACAGCCATCCAAGAAGCTCCCGGCCGGCCGTTTAATTACAAGGGCGGGCCGGGAAGCTACTCCTCCGGCGTCCTCTCATCACAGACGAGAGGACGAGTGAATTTTCAAGCCCTGGTCATGATACTGGTCCCATTCTACTAGATTTTGCCATGATACTGGTCCTGATGAGAGATGAGGTCCGGGTACCATTAGGTATTTTTGTTTTTAATTTTGGCATGGTTGCATGCTCCATATGGCAGTGCCTGTCTTCTCATGCCCTTTGTTTGACAATAGCTGGCTTATCAGCTCCAAAAAATGGCTAAATTTGATTCACCACCCATAGACTTCAGTGGTTTTTGCCACAAAGTTTCATTTGTTGTTCTTCATTGTGTATAACATGTATTTTTTTTTTCTCCTACCAGGTGAGCAATTACTTGTAGCAGGAGAAGTATTTCATATGAGACCTCTCCAACTGTATGCCATAACCCAATTGCTACGACATGGCAAACCAACATGTATTAATGGAGATGCCAAAACTGACCTTGGGCACATACTTGATTTTACGTGTAGACTGAAATATTTAAAGGTAAGTCTCAAGTATTCTCTTTATTTCTATCTGCAAGCAGTTCATTAAACTTGTTTAAAAAATAAGTTAGAAAATAAATGAGCCAAGTGTATTAGTGCCACATTGCAGTCTATGTGCCTGATACACTAAAGTTTATGCTGACCGTTAAATACACAGATGAAATACATATACCGGGGCTCTTTTCACTGCCAAATGATTTGTATTACTGTCCATCCAGTTTTGAGATTTACACCGCTCTATCACCACAAAGCCATGTCTGGCAGGGCAGGAGACTTTGTTTTTCCCTGCTGTAATTCATTAACATCACTTACAGGTCCACTTCTCACCTTCTGACTGGACAGTGAAAGGAGAAGCAGCAGACGGATGAGCTCATCTCTCTTGCTTTCTCTTCCTGTCAGCATTCTCCTGCATCCAAGCATAATTGTTTGGCTAAATTTGGTGCTTCACTGGCCCCCAGTCTGACTACTGCTGTACATATTAAAGTGACACTAAACTCTGGAGTTAAATCTTAAAAATGCATTGAAGTACCTTAACTATTAACAAGAATGTCCCTCACTCAGCTGTAGATCCTCAAATCATCTCTGAATTGGTGCTGACACAGTCTTTCCTTCTGGAGGGTGGCTACTTTTGTTCCCCATGGTACCTGTGTGTGTTGTATAGTAGTCACCGCTCCAAGCTTGCTCCTGTGATGGACTGCAATCTCATGTTTAGTTTATTAATATGTATTGAGATTGTAGTCCATCACGGGAGTGAGCTTGGAGTGGTGGCTACTTAACAACACGCATGGTCAGCACCAGTTCACAGATGATTTGAGATTCTACAGCTGAGTGATGCACAAATAAGCGCCATTTTTGTTATTAGGTAAGACGCTTGAATGCATTTTTAAGATTTAGCTCCCAAGTTTAGTGTCACTTTAACTATGCTGAAAAAGAAAACCTTACAGCTGAACTTCAGCCTACCCAACAGTCTTGCACAGTTGTACAGGTTCCTCTCCTGTACTGAATTTGCTTACTCTGATTTTGCTACATACTGAGCTTACTCTCCCTTTTCTTCCTGGCTTTAGGCCCTGGGCACATACTGAGCTTACTCTCCCTTTCCTTCCTGGCTTTAGGCCCTGGGCACATGGGGGCCATACATATAAAATTCAGACTTATTTCCCTGCCCGGAAAGCCACAGGTGTTGCATACAGCTGCCCATAGACATCCATGGTTATACAGGTCTCTATGGCTGGTATATGCTGGTACTTTCGTAAACCTGTCTGCATTTGGGGCATATGTTCATACTCATGCAATGTTACGAAAGTACCAGCGTATACCCACCATTCAGCTATTGATGTCTATGAGCAGCTGTATGCAGCACCTGTAGTTTCCCAGGCACCTGCATGCAAGAGGCCTTACTGTTCTTTTTCTGCTGTTTTCATTCATTGGCCTTCAGTTACTTTAATCAAGGAGGCTCAGCATTACATGCGGGCATTATTTAGGGCAGTCTGGAGCAAGCCTAGTAATGCCCACTCCTCCAGACTAACTATCACCCATCAGGGCCGTTTAAAGAAGAACTCCGGGCAAAACTTTTATTAATCTTTGCGGTGGGGCTACCCCTGCTAAAGAAAAAAACATTATACTCACCCGAACCACTGAGCTGGCTCCCTGCTTCTTTGGTCCTTGAAATCTGTCTCCTCCTATGCTGCAGCATTGGAATCTTTCTCAGCGTCCTCATATCTATACACTGTGTATAGAACGTGATGATTTAGAGGACCTTAGACTGCTGTAGCGGAGGTGGAGAGAGGCTGGAAGGACTGATCTAAGAACAGGTGAGCATAAAATGAGCAATTTTGCCCAGAGTTCTTCTTTAATATTTCCATAACTCCTCAAGAGCCAGCCCACCGCTTGCATCAGTGCATAGAGCTTTTGAGAGGTATAATGAGGCAGGGTGCAGTGATAATTTTAGTAATCTGTGTAGCATTCTGCCAACCCCTCCCCCATCAGTCATAATCTGCCTTCATTGCATGAAGAAGCACAGAGACCAAGTGATGACATCACAGAATCTAAAATGAGGTATGAAATAAAAAAGGAAAAATTTTAGTTACACTTTTCATTACGTTGCTGTTGAGAGTCAAAGAACGGTGATGCCAGTGCGACAATGATTCCTTTAGATTTACCATTTGCGTATGTGTTACATGCTGCATTGTATTTGTCCTTGGCGTGTTTCATTAAATTTTTTATTTCTTCTGTTTTTCAGATCAGTGGTTCAAAGGGTCCTGTTGGAACAAGTAATATACAAGAGCATCTGCTATCATATGATCTATCTGTATTTAAATCACTTTGTCAAGTAGAGGTAAGAAATATACCGAGTGATCATACTTTTTGCTGTCTTATTTTGTAAAAGTATATTGCAAAATTGCAGGACTGGCTCTGCTATAGTGATTGTAATCTGCCTACTGCGTATGTCCTTTCATTTGGAATATATTGATCAATCACTCATATTAGGATCATTTAGTGCTGCACACTCGTTGTGAACCTTTATAGATACTATCTGTATCGGAAATGGTTACCTATAGAAAACATATAAGGGGATTATTCTTGAAGGATCCAGTCATACCTCCCCGAAAATAAGACACTGTCTTATATTTTTTTTTGGCTCAAAAAAACACACTAGGTCTTATTTACAGGGTGGGTCTTATATTTTTTTTTAATGTACAACAATACACACTTATTCCTGCAGAAAAATATGGTGATCAGGGTTGCCGTGCCTTTCCAAGAGCAATTTGCTAACAAATGGCTGGCCAGGATGAGCGAAGCGCGCTTTCACTATCGATTCCTCACAGGCAGAGTGCATTTGGTATCACTCCGCCTGTGACAGGAGACGGCGCTAAAGAGGAGGCATCGGCTTATGCGGCTCTGCTCCCTCCGCTGCCGCCTCGCTTCCTCTAGCGCTGGCTTCGTTGGCACTGCTGATTCTCTCCTGCCTCTCCCGCAGCTCTTTAAGTTCCCCCTTATGCCACCACCGGCCCTGGGAATGGTCACAACTAGGTCTTATTTTCGGGGTAGGTCTTATATTTTAGCAATTCCCAAAAATAGTACTAGGTCTTATTTTCGGGGAAACAGGGTAGCTCTGGCTGATCCTTTGGCTCTCTTCGGCCACCGGAGCCCTTCAGTTCAGTCGAACCAAAGGGTTGCTGTACAAGGCATATGCTTCAGTTCGACTGAACCGCAGTGACACCCGAAGTGAGGCAAGCGGCCTGCCGTAAGCCCTGCAATGACAGCTGGGTGGGGCCAGCCATCATCTCTTGGCCAGTTGTAATGACAGATTAGCTCCCCCAAATGACCTGCTGATCTGTCATTAACCCTTTCGCTGCCAAGCCCTCCGGAACATTTTTCAAATCAGCTGGCCAAGCCATTTTTG